ATATCTCATAGTTGTTTTGAAGATCATTGTTTTTCAATGTTGTGTAATATTACACTGTGTGAATGCACTGTTGTATCCTTTTGTGTGTTCATAGGTGCTTCCATCTCTTTGCTATTTTGTTGTTGTTGTTTACTGTTGAGTCAGATATGACTGGTACAGGAGGAGATTGTCCCTCCTTTTCCAGCAGACCATTTGGTGGATTTGAACCGTACACCTCTAGGATTGCAGTGCAACTTCTTGCCACTAAGCCACCAGAGCCCCCTTCTCTTTGCTATTTTGGCTAGTGCAGCAATAAACATGGATATGCATACATCTGTTTGTGTGGTGGCTCTGGATTCTTTAGGGTGTATACACAGTAGTGGAATTGTTGGGTCAAACGATACAGCTATTTCCAACTTCTTGAGAAAGCTCCGTACCACCTTCCATAGTCATTCTGTCATTTTACATTTCCACCAACAGTGAATACGGGTTCTAATTTCTCTACAACCTCACCAGCATTTGTTGTTTGCTGCCCTGTTGAACTTTGTTACTGTTGCTGGTGTAAGATGATATCTCATAGCTGTTTAAACTTTATTTTTGGGAGGGTGGAAGTGAATGCAGTCTAAGATGTTTGGAGAGAGTTTCAGTGGAAGAAATATAAGAGAAAAAAAAAAAAGATGATTCTTGATGAATTTGAAAACAGAGAAGGGAAGAGGGAAAAGTGATATGACCAGGTACAGGAGCAGGAATTCCTACATTTTGAGCCCACACTTTCCATGACCTTCCTTGTTTGGGAAATCTCTTACATAATTTCTTCATCTATCCTGGCTCTTTTTCTTTTCATACAAACATGCAATGCTCTGAACGAAACAAAATTTCCTCTGTTTTACTTCTCTTTGTCATCCTTCTGATTCCCCTTTGTTTTTTTTTAAACATTAGTTTAACTTTATGTTGTTCCAGTACTCTCTTCAACTGATAACAATCTGATTTCTTTTACTTGCCATCTACCTGTAACTGCCTTTCCTTAATTCTTTCTCACTCATTGCTGTTGAGTCAGAAATGACTTCTAGTTGGCCCTCCAGCAGATTTTCAGAGGCTGTAAATCACACAGAAGGATTGCCTGTCTTTGTTCCATGGAGCTGCTGGTTGTATATGAACTGCCAGAGAGGTGAGGCCTTTGGATGCAGCTCCCTACAAAGTATGTTACCAGATTTTCAGGCTTACTACATCAGGCTCAATTCTTTAGCCCCCTCTTCTTTGCCAACCCGGTGATTTTTCTTTTTCTTGTTAATTGAGTTTTTAAAAATTGTCTTTTGGATTTGCTAACTCCTTTCTTTGTATACTCCTTTGTATGTTCATTAACTTGTTTCACATACTGAGCATAGGTATTGGACAGTAAAGATATAAATGAATGTATATTACAGGGATTTTTTCCCCCTCCAGTGACACTTACGTATATAAGTAAATACAGATATTGCAAAAATATTGTGTGTTAAGTACACTGATAGGATTTGACAGAATGCTCTGACAGAAATATCTGAATCATTGTAGGATAAAAGATTTTGGGAGTCCTAGAAAAAGTTTCTTAAAGCAGGTGAAATTTTAGCTGAATTTTAAAAGATGAATAAAAGCTAGACATTGAATAAGGATGACAGAATAAGAACTGAGGTCTTTGATCTGTAGTGTTGGAAAAGAGCACTGAATATCCCATGGACTTCCAAAAGAACAAACAAATATGTCTTGGAGAGGGTGCAGCCAGAGTGCTCTCTGGATGCAAGAATGATGAAACTGCCTCATATACTTTGGGCATGTTGCTCGGAGGGGCTATTTTTTTGGAGAAAGACATGATGCTGGGAAAGGCGGAGGGTAGGTGAAGGAGAGGAAGACCCTCAATCAAATGGATTGATTCAGTGACTGCTGCAGTCGGCTTTTGTGTGTCAGAAAGTGTGATGATTGGCATAGGATAGAACGAGGTTCAGATCTTTTGTTCATAGGATTGCTCTGAATCATACTCAACTCGATGGCACTTAACAACAACAAAAGCCAAGTAAATGAGGAGTATATTGATTGTGGAAGACATTATACAAAGAAGAAATAACATGGGCAAAGGTACTGCATGCATACTCTTGATACTATTGAAACAAAATTATGGCTAAAGATGTAGTGAAAACAGAAGGCTTCTTGTGCCTTGAGAAAAGGCTTGCATTTTTTCCCCTGGTAGGGAGTAAGGAACTTTGAGTGGGTGTGAGCAAAGAAGAGAGCACTTTATGTTTCCAAATATCACTGCCCTTTATTCTGTCTCCACAGCTTAGCTGAAAGCAGGGAATACCAGAAGAATGTCTGTGTTTCATTGATTATGCAAAGGCGTTTGACTGTGTGGATCATAACAAACTATGGCCGACTCTGAGAAGAATGGGAATCCCAGAACATTTAATCGTGCTAATGCGAAACCTATACTTGGACCAAGAGGCAGTCATAAGAAGAGAGCAGGGTAACACTGCATGGTTCAAAATTGGGAAGGGTGTACGCCAGGGATGTGTCCTATCTCCATACCTTTTCAACCTGTATGCAGAGCAGATTATCCGAGAGACTGGGTTCTATGAGGAGAAGTGTGGCGTCAGGATTGGTGGAAGATCTATTAACAATCTGCGTTATGCAGATGATACAACCCTGCTTGCTGAAACTGAGGAGGACCTGAAATGCTTGCTGCTGAAGGTCAAGGACTGCAGCCTTCCATATGGATTGAGACTCAGTGTCAAGAAGACAAAGATTCTCACCACTGCACCAATTGACTGCATCAGGATGGATGGTGAAGAGATTGAGATTGTTCACAGCTTTAGTTTGCTTGGCTCCACCATCAGCACTCTTGGCACCAGCAGCCAGGAAATAAAAAAAAAATGTATCGCAATGGGAAAGTCTGCTGTTAGGGACCTCTCTAAAGTACTGAAGAGCAACAGTGTCTCTCTGGAGACTAAGGTGCGCCTGATACAGGCCATGGTCTTTGCAATCATGTGTTATACATCAGAGACCCGAACAATGACTAGGGAGGATAGAAGGAGAATTGTTGCCTTTGAGCTGTGGTGCTGGAGAAGAGTATTTAATGTACCATGGATTGCCAAGAAAACAAACAGATTCATCTTGGAAAGGGTTAAACCAGGCTACTCCTTGGAGGCAAGGACTCTGGGGCTTCATCTGACATACTTTGGGCATGTTGTAAGGAGGGACAGGTCCTTGGGGAGGGACATCATGCTTGGGAGGGTGGAGGGACAGCGCAGGAGGGGAAGACCCTCTATGAGATGGATGGATTCAGTGACTGGGGTGCTTCACTTTTTTTTTTTTTATGTGCTTTACTTTTCAAGGTGCTGCCACATGATAGCAAAGCCCGACGACTTTTTGTAACAAGTGGTGGACTTAAAAAAGTACAGGAGATAAAAGCTGAACCTGGATCTCTCCTTCAAGAATACATCAATAATATTAATAATTGTTATCCAGAGGAGATAGTAAGGTAGGAAAATTATACATTAAGAGGTTCAAAATTAAAATGTACTTCATTGTTTTCAAATCTGGATTTAGTCTACTATGTCAAAATGTGGATTCAGAATGCTCTGTGAAATCAATGTACCTATCTTTCTCTCTTAACCTGTTTTTCCTGCTTTGAATAATGTCCTGTTGACATACATTTTTCCAAGTCCAAATGGAGTTCCTTTTGAGAACTAATTTAGTGTATGCTTTGCACTGCAAGGCCAAAGACAGTGGCTATCTGGTAGTTTCAATTCACCAGCCAGCTGCTCTAGGGGAGAAAGATGAGGAGTTTCCTCCCATGAACTTTAGCTCTGGAAATCTGCTGGAGAATCAGCTGTGAATTGATTTATACTCTATGGCAATGAGTTTGAGTTTTACTAAATAATACCCAAATATGAAGTTTAAGTTAAGATATATGGAAAATTTCATTTCTTTAATTTGTGAATTGTGAATACCTGACTTAATTAAATGTCTGTAGATTCTCAATCCATTTCTCTGGTTTCCTGCATATTACTTCTACCTTAAGTTCATTTTTATGTTAATGAGAATATTATGGTATGGAAGAGATGTTGAATGGTAGAAAAGGAAATTATTAACTAAATGCTTAAATATTAAATAATGTTGCTTGTTATATGCAGGAAATTGTTTTCTAGATATATTTTTAAGTGAGGTTCATGAAATCAGTTTAACCTCAGTCCTATAATCTAAAAGATTAACTAAAAGTTTACATCTAAATTAAAAATAAATGAAAGCAAAGTTAACTAGAACAGATGGGGTTATTTTAGCACATGAATCCTGAAAATGCCCATGAATTTTCATGTAGAATAAAAGATCATATTTGTATACATCTTCATCATCCTACTATTATTTATTACTTTATTCAATTAATGTGCAAACTATAAATGCCAGTTTTATACTGTATAGTATACCTTATAAAATGCCTTTTATCTGTTCAATCTTCCTGTTTCACGCTTGTTGTGTACTTTGGAGTCAGAACCAACCCTAGCTGATCCTCCAGCAAGTTTTCAGAAGCAGTTAATTTCATAGGAGGAGATTGCCTTTGTGAAAGATTGTTCTTCCACAGAATAACAGGGATTCAAAACCACTGTATTTGGTATTCAGTGCAGCTTCTACACCACCTGAGCTCACAAGTACACCAGTAATAAGCAAACTAATATTTATTTCTAGTGGTTTTAAATGTTTTTAGTGACATAGATTTTAAAATCACAAAAATAATTTCCTTTAGATTTAAAGCTTGCTCTCACTGTGCTGAGTCACAAAAGGACAAATACGGCATAACACTTATAAAATGGGACTGACATGGGAAGTGGGGGTGAAAATAGGGAAACAAGTGGATATATAATGACAACTGCATTGGAATAGATGAAGGGAAGAACATTCCAAAACAAATAAATTATTAGGTATTATATGTATGACAGCAAAATTCTGGAACAGAAGGTTTATTGCAAAATGGACTGGGGAAGGGGGTAGAAAGAGAGAAAGAGGAAAATGTACAACAATAAATACAAATTTAAAAAAATCCCAAAACAACAAAACTTACTCTCTATTCATATATATTCAGTCAGTGAGTTATTTCAGGAGGTGAATGTTCATGTACTTCTGAATTTTAGAACTCTTTGACTAAAAGAGTTACCATAACTTGTTGTTATGTGCAGTTGAGTCACCTGTGAATCATAACAACCCTATGTACAACAGCTCTAAACCCTGCTCTATCTTTTGCCAATCTCACTGACTCCAACACACCTATCCCTTATTACCCCAGTGACTGAATTAATCCATCTCGTTGAGGGTCTTCCTCTCTTGCACTGTCCCTCCACCCTCTCAAGCAAGACGTCCCTCTCTAAGGATTGGTGTCACCTTGCAACATGTCCAAAGTATGTCAGATGAAGCTTCAGAATCTTTGCCTCCAAGGAGTAGCTTGTTCTCACCCTCTCCAGGACAAACTTGTTTGTTCTCTTAGCAGTCCATGGTACATTAAATACTCTTCTCCATCACCACAGCTCAAAGGCATCAGTTCTCCTTCTGTCATCCCTAGTCATTGTCCAGTTCTCTGCAAGTGATTACAAAGACCATGGCCTGTACTATAACTTAGCTTTGAAAATATTAATCTATATATAAGGAATGGGTATATCTTATTTATGTCTGTATTGTTTTCATGTGCTGTTGAGTCACCTGTGACTCATAGTGACCTGATGTGCCACAGCTCTCCTGTCCTATTTTGAGCCAGTTTCACTGTCTCCAACACACCTACTCTCAATACTACAGTTACTGAGTCAATTCCACTCATCCAGGGTCTTCCTCTCTTCTGCTGTCCTTCCATCCATCCAAGCATGATGTCCTTCTCCAAGGACTTGTCCCTCCTGTCAGCATACCCAAAGTATGTGAGACAGATCTTCAAAACCTTCCTTCCAAGGAATAGCTGGGTTTTAACCTCTTCAAGACAGACCTGTTTGTTTCCTTAGCAGTCTTTGGTATATTCAGTGCTTTTCTCCAGGACCACAACTCAAAGGCATTGACTTTTCTCCTGGCATTCTTAGTCATTGTCCAGGTCTCTGGTTGCTTGGATCAAGTGCACCTTAGTCTCTAGACTGACATCATTGCTCCTCAGTCCTCTGGAGAGGTCCCTGGCAGTAGATTTTCCCAGTGCAATTGATCTTTTGATTTCCTGGTTGCTGGTGCCAAAGAGTATTGATCCTAGAACCAAGCAAGCTGAATTGTTAACAATCTAAATCTCATCACCCTCTATCATGATGCTGCCAATTGGGCCAGTGGTGAGAATCTTTGTTCTCTTGATCTTATTTAGCTTCAATTCATATTGACCTGCAGCAAATACCTCAGGTCCTCCTCAGTTTCAGCAAGCAAGATTGTGTCATCTGCATAGTGCAGGTTGTTGATGAGTCTCCAATCCTGATGCTACATTCCTCCTCATAGAGTCAAGCCTTCTGAACGATCTGTTACACACACAGATTGAAAATGTATGGAGATAGGATGCATCCATTGTGCACACCTTTCCTGATTTTGAACCATGCGGTTTCCCTGCTCTGTTCTGGAGACTGTCTCCTGGTCCAAGTACAGGTTTCACAGGAGCACAGTCAAGTGTTCTGAGAGTCCCATTCTTCTCAAGATTAGTCGCAATTTGTTGTGAACTATATTGTCAAAAGCCTTTGCACAGTCAATGAAACACAGACATTCCTCTGGTACTCTCTACTTTCTGCTATCATGCATCTAACACTGGCTGTAATGTTAGCCAAAGGCCTAGTGCCGTGGCCTCTCCTAAACCTGGCTTGCACATCTGGGAGTTCTTTGTTTATGTGCTATTTAAGTTATTTTTGGATAATCTTCAGCACGATCTTGAATGTGTGTGATAGTAATGATACTATTCAACATTTTCCATACTCTGTTGGGTTACCTTTTTTTGGAAGGGGAATACATAGGAATCTATTCTTGTCAGTTGGCCAGGTGGTTGTCCTCCAGATTTCCTGATACAACCTGGTGAGCACATCCAAGGCAGCATCTGTTTGTTGAAATATGTCAGTTGATATTCCATCAATCCTGGGACCTTGTTTTTTTGCTAATTCTTTCAGTCAGTCTGAACTTCCTCCATCATCACTGTTTCCTTTTGTTCATATGTGGTTCCATGAAATTCTTCTGTGTCATCCAATTCTTTTTGGTATAGTGAATCATGCTTTCCATCTTTTAATGCTTCCTAGGTCATTCAATATTCTGCCCACAGCATCCTTAAGTATTGCAGCTTGAAGCTTGAATTTATTCCTCAGTTCCTTCAGCTTAAGAAATGCCAAGCTAGTTGGTCCTATTTGATTTTCCATCTCTACGCATTTTTCATTGTAATACTTTCCTTTGTCTTTCTGTGCTGCTCTCTGTTCAGCTCCTTAACTTCTTGATTTCTTCTCTTTGCTTTGACTTCTCAGCACTCTAGTGCAATATTCTTCTGACATCCATCTTCTTTATCTTTATATACTTCATTGATGATATTCTTGATATCCTTCCACAGCTCATCTGGTCTTCTCTTATTAGTATTCAAGGCCTCAAACCTGTTTTTGATATGGTCTTTAAATTCAGATGTGATAGACTAAAGGTTAAACTTTAGTTCTTGTGGACTTGATTTTCTTTAGCGTTAGTTTGAACTTGCTTATGAGTAGTTGATGGTCTGTTCCACAATCAGTGAATGGCCTAGTTTTTACAGCTGATATTGAGGTGCTCTAACTGTTTTTGTATGTAATACAAATGCACAGGCACATTGAAGTTAATATATAAAAATGTATGTGAAACCACTAAGTTAAGGAGGATTCTTTTCTCACAAGAATATCAAGTTTTGTACATGGACATTAAGTGCCTTCAGTTAAGAATACTTACATAAATGAAGATGACATTTTTAACAGTGTTATAATAAAATAGAAGAAAGTAAATAAGAAATCCTCCAAAGTGCAAGAATCAATCAGTGGAAAGTGTTTTCTTTTGTAGAAATTTTCTCTACTACTCTTTAGGAGTATTATATCAGAGCAGCCAGTTAAAAACTCATATTAGAATTGAATCTAGTTTGGGTTTTGTTTTTTGCCAAAAAAAGTTGTAAATTTTTCACTTCTTGGACTTTGTGACATAAGGTTTTATTTAAAAAGTTGTAAGTACTATAAGAATTTTAGTTAGGCAACAACCTTTTTCTGATTTCTGATATTTTCAAAGCATTTTGGTGCAAAAAGTGTTTTATACAGTCTTTCAGCATTTCCTGAAAATAGACAAATATAATCTCAAAATTATTTTAATTTTATGGTAAGTTCTTGAGATTTACTTGGTGACTATTTTAAAATTAATTTTTCTTTATAAGATAGATTTAATGAATAATAATTTCCTCGGATGCTATTAGCTTAAATATTTCATTTTGTGTTCCATTGTTAGTATTTTAAACAAAAATAATAGTTTAAAAATTATAACAACTATGAGATA